GTTCTTTTTTGTGTTTTGAGAAATCACTTCCTCATCGTTCAGCTTCAGAACAAACAAACGGCAGATTCATGAGTTACAGTGAAGTGTTTCCTCTTCAGGAGCGATAACTGCAGCATCCATCACTGTCCACCAGGGGGAAGTGTAGAGACCACTCTATTGTTCACAAGACACTTGATACTAATGACCTCAGTCCTGGGTCTACGGCCTCAGTCCTGGGTCTACGGCCTCAGTCCTGGGTCTACGGCCTCAGTCCTGGGTCTACGGCCTCAGTCCTGGGTCTACAGCCTCAGTCCTGGGTCTACGGCCTCAGTCCTGGGTCTTGTTTGTTGTGGGTAGGTTGCTGGGATAAAGTCCCTGATACTGAATGGAAACGCAACCAGTTAGAACCGAGTCGAGTCGAGTAGAGCAGAGCAGAGTCGGGCCAAGTGGGGCTGGTGGAAACAGGGCTACAGGCCCATATAAGGCTCTAACAAAGCTGTGTGCTAAAGTTAGTATATACCTGTTAAATGTACCCCGTCATGGACATCGTAGACCCGGGGTACAAAAGGTGGGGACGGGGAGTGGAAGGAGAAGCTGGAGGGCCAGACCCAGGGACTCAGACCCAGGGACTCAGACCCAGGGACTCAGACCCAGGGACTCAGACCCAGGGACTCAGACCCAGGGACTCAGACCCAGGGACTCAGACCCAGGGACTCAGACCCAGGGACTCAGACCCAGGGACTCAGACCCAGGGACTCAGACCCAGGGACTCAGACCCAGGGACTCAGACCCAGGGACTCAGACCCAGGGACTCAGACCCAGGGACTCAGACCCAGGGACTCAGACCCAGGGACTCAGACCCCCGCGGTCTGAGAGGACTGAGCAGCGGGGCAGGTTTCACTCCTGGTTTTAGACCTGGTTTTAGACTGTATTTTAGCCTTATTGGCCTTGGCAACGGTGCAGTGGTTTGTGCTTGTGCCTCACAGCAACTCCCATCCAACTTCCGGACCTTGTGTGGAGTTTGCATGTTCTCCCCGTGTCTGATCTGGTTTCCCCTACCATAGATCTGAATCTGCGTCCTGAGTGGGACTGCTCCATCTGTGTGTGGAACGAGTGCCCAAGATTGTTAAGAGCTCAGTGACTCTGGTCTGAGAGAAACATGACTCTCTTACTTATGGCTGTGTGTGTGTGTGTGTGTGTGTGTGTGTGTGTGTGTGTGTGTGTGTGTGTGTGTGTGTGTGTGTGTGTGTGTGTGTGTGTGTGTGTGTGTGTGTGTGTGTGTGTGTGTGTGTGTGTGTGTGTGTGTGTGTGTGTGTGTGTGTGTGTGTGTGTGTGTGTGTGTGTAGGTGTTTTCGTGTGTGTGTGTTTGTGCTGCCTGACACCTCTGTTTCTCCAACAGACATCCAAGTGTATTCCCGGTGTGTTCCTCTATATTTAGCGGCTGCAGACCTCTGGCAGACCTCAGGCAGACCTCTGGCCGGCCCCTGAGTGCGGCCCCTGACTGCGGCCCCTGAGCGCGGCGTGGCCCTGGACCAAGGCTCCGGGACCAGACATCGGAGCAGATCCTCAATGTTTGCTCCAGATGTTTGGGATTTTTGAGGCTCATATTTCACTATCAAAGTGGGACATTTGTGCAGAGTCCGGGGCCAGGTTTATCCAGAGATCGCAGCGAGTCCCAGGTGTGTGTCCGCATCTGACGTTTAAACACATTACTACAATGACAATGTTCTTTGTCAAAAACAGACCTGGAGCTGATTTTAGATCCAGCCAGGCTAGAATCAGACACTTCAAATCTACAGAACACACCGTCTCTCTGAGGACTTTCTTTGAATTAATGTCAACTAATATTTCCCCGGTCTCTCTGCCCCGGTCTCTCTGCCCCGGTCTCTCTGCCCCGGTCTCTCTGCCCCGGTCTCTCTGCCCCGGTCTCTCTGCCCCGGTCTCTCTGCCTCGGTCTCTCTGCCTCGGTCTCTCTGCCTCGGTCTCTCTGCCTCGGTCTCTCTGCCCCGGTCTCTCTGCCTCGGTCTCTCTGCCTCGGTCTCTCTGCCTCGGTCTCTCTGCCTCGGTCTCTCTGCCTCGGTCTCTCTGCCTCGGTCTCTCTGCCCCGGTCTCTCTGCCTCGGTCTCTCTGCCTCGGTCTCTCTGCCTCGGTCTCTGCCTCTGCCTCAGCCTCGGCCTCACACACCATGGATGGTATATTGGAGAGATTCAGGTCCCCCAGCTTTAGCCTGAGTGTCAGAGGTTTGCTGTGATCTACGAGCCGCTCCTTCCTCTATTGTCGCCTTTTGTTTGAAGCAGGAGATGGTTCTTTTTTAGTCCATAAATGATTAACTCAGACTCATTACTCTTTGGTGTCAGTCACTGTCACAGACTCACTCCATCATTTACTGTCACTTTGGACTCTCCGTCTCTATCACTGTTGTGTTTCCATTACACACACAACAAACCACCATACGGAGAAATTCCTTGGCAACCATGGCTTCCAGCAGCACTGTCAGTTAGAACACTTTAGAACCAGCTCAGCCTGCATAGAACCAGGACCAAGAGGGACTAAAGAAGGACCAGAGACTGGTTACAAACAGGTAGAGTAGAGTAGGGTACAGTAGAGTAGAGTAGGGTAGAGCAGGGTAGAGTAGAGTAGAGCAGGGTAGAGTAGAGTAGAGCAGGGTGGAGTAGAGTAGAGCAGGGTGGAGTAGAGTAGAGTAGAGTAGAGTAGAGTAGAGTAGAGTAGAGTAGAGTAGAGTAGAGTAGAGTAGCGTAGAGTAGAGTAGCGTAGCGTAGAGTAGCGTAGCGTAGAGTAGGGTAGGGTAGAGCAGGGTAGAGTAGAGTAGAGTAGAGTAGAGTAGAGTAGAGTAGAGTAGCGTAGCGTAGAGCAGGGTAGAGTAGAGTAGAGTAGAGCAGGCTAGAGTAGAGTAGGGAAGGGTAGAGTAGGGCTGGTGGAAACAGGGCTGAAGGCTCTGCTCAGGCTGAAGTTGGCGATTACATGACAGTTTCTTTTCCAAAAATGCTCCAGTGCAAAGTAGACGTGGATCCAAACAACACGCCCACCTTTCCCAGAGTTGCACCAAAACACATGAGACGAGGGAAAAGGCCCCAAAAAGTCATCAGCTCCAAAAATGTTTTTAAAATGAGATATCTTCTGTAACTACAGAACAATGTGTGTTGAAATACTGTGGGGGCAACAGAGGCAAAGGTTGTCATCTTGTTTTGACCCGTGTCGACTTTTCACCACTGGGACAGGAATGTGTCAAAATACAAGCGTCAAAACAAACTAGACTTTCAACAATAAGTCACAGTGCAGCCAGAGAGAGACCAGAGAGAGAGAGACCAGAGGGAGACACCAGAGAGAGACCAGAGAGAGAGACCAGAGAGAGACATACCAGAGAGAGACCAGAGGGAGACATACCATCAGAGAGAGACCAGAGGGAGACATACCATCAGAGAGAGACCAGAGGGAGACATACCATCAGAGAGAGACCAGAGGGAGACCAGAGAGAGAGACCAGAGAGAGACCAGAGAGAGAGACCAGAGGGAGACATACCATCAGAGAGAGACCAGAGGGAGACATACCATCAGAGAGAGACCAGAGGGAGACATACCATCAGAGAGACCAGAGGGAGACAGACCAGAGAGAGAGACCAGAGATAGAGACCATAGAGAGACCATAGAGAGACCAGAGAGAGAGACCAGAGAGAGAGACCAGAGATAGAGACCATAGAGAGACCAGGGAGAGAGACCAGAGAGAGACCAGAGAGAGACCAGAGAGACCAGAGGGAGACACCAGAGAGAGACCAGAGAGAGAGACCAGAGGGAGACATCAGAGGGAGAGAGACCAGAGAGAGAGACCAGAGGGAGAGAGACCAGAGAGAGAGACAAGAGATAGAGACCATAGAGAGACCAGAGAGAGAGACCAGAGGGAGAGACCAGTCATGTTTCTCTTGGGGCGAGATCTTCCCTCACCCAAACACAGCTCCACGGCTCGTTACGCTGTCCTTCTGCAGAGTCTGTTTCTGGTGTTACTTGTGTGTAGTTTTAGAACCTTCTTTCCTACGGTTTCGGTTTCCAAATTACCGCTATTTTTGGCTAAAGGACACTGAATGTAGAGTCTGTCCGTGTGGGAGGAGGAGACATGGGGTTTGAGTCTGTCTCAGTCTCTGCCTCAGTCTCTGCCTCAGTCTCTGCCTCAGTCTCTGCCTCAGTCTCTGCCTCAGTCTCTGCCTCAGTCTCTGCCTCAGTCTCTGCTTCAGTCTCTGCCTCAGTCTCTGCCTCAGTCTCTGCTTCAGTCTCTGCCTCAGTCTCTGCTTCAGTCTCTGCCTCAGTCTCTGCCTCAGTCTCTGCCTCAGTCTCTGCTTCAGTCTCTGCTTCAGTCTCTGCTTCAGTCTCTGCTTCAGTCTCTGCCTCAGTCTCTGCTTCAGTCTCTGCTTCAGTCTCTGCTTCAGTCTCTGCCTCAGTCTCTGCCTCAGTCTCTGCCTCAGTCTCTGCCTCAGTCTCTGCCTCAGTCTCTGCCTCAGTCTCTGCCTCAGTCTCTGCCTCAGTCTCTGCCTCAGTCTCTGCCTCAGTCTCTGCCTCAGTCTCTGCCTCAGTCTCTGCCTCAGTCTCTGCCTCAGTCTCTGCCTCAGTCTCTGCCTCAGTCTCTGCCTCAGTCTCTGCCTCAGTCTCTGCCTCAGTCTCTGCCTCAGTCTCTGCCTCAGTCTCTGCCTCAGTCTCTGCCTCAGTCTCTGCCTCAGTCTCTGCCTCAGTCTCTGCCTCAGTCTCTGCCTCAGTCTCTGCCTCAGTCTCTGCTTCAGTCTCTGCTTCAGTCTCTGCTTCAGTCTCTGCTTCAGTCTCTGCTTCAGTCCAGTTTTATTACACCAAAATATGACATGTTTTCTACCGAGACAAACCCAGAACCGTGGACCCGTTCCGCATCTATCCCACAGGTTTCCATTTCTTCGGCGCCGTCCCGAGACCCTGGACTCCAACCAACAACCCACCACCAAAACACGCCGAATCAAAGCATGATTTATCGACCATTACCGGCATTCACCAACTGTTTAGCGTCAAAACCGGGTGAAAAACGACGCAGCGGTGACAGGCAAAAATGAGAAATGGCGGCGAGATGCCACCGGGGGCAGATGTGCGAGACGTGCGCTCCTTTGATATGATAAGAGCGCTAAGCTAGGACAAAGATGGAGAGTAAACACTTGATTTTTTGAATGCGATTTTTGCCTGTGCCGTTGGCCGGGCTGCTCCTGGGGCTGGACCCGAGGGGCATGCATCATCCCGACAGCAGAATACAGGGTTCTGACGGACAGAGAATGGGTGATCCGTCTCTGTCGTCGGCTCATTCATCCTCGCCATGCTCGCTCCCGGTTACATCCGTCATGCGCTGTCAGATACACGTCCAGCGACCAATGGGAGCGAGCGAGAACAGAACCACAGAGGAGAGGTTCTCACGGACGGCGACCAGCGCTGTGTGTGTATGTGTGTGTGTGTTTGTGTATGTATCTGTGTGCGTAAATCTGTTTGTGTATCAGAGCCTGTGTACGTATCTGTGTGTGTTAGCGTGTATATCTGTGTGTGTGTGAGAGTGTGTTATGGTGTATATCTGTGTGTGTGTGTGTTATGGTGTATATCTGTGTGTGTGTATCTGAGTGTGTGATGTGTGTGTTATGGTGTCTATCTGTGTGTATGTCTCTGTGAGTGTGTTATGTGTGAGTGTGTATGTATCTGTGAATGTATGTGCGTTTTGTGTGAGCGTGTGTGTGTGTGTGCACGCGCATGGGTATAATGGTGTATATCTGTGCATCTCTGTGCGTGTGTGCGTATGAGAGTGTGTGTTATGTGTGAGTGTGTATCTGCATGTGTATGAGTTTGTGTGTTGTGTGTGAGGGTGTAAATCTGTGTATATTCGTGTGTGTGTATGTACAGTGCCTTGCGAAAGTATTCGGCCCCCTTGAATCTTTCAACATTTCGCCACATTTCAGGCTTCAAACAAAGATATAAAATTTTTTTATTTTGTCAAGAATCAACAACAAGTGGGACACAATCGTGAAGTAGAACGAAATTTATTGGATAATTTAAATTTTTTTAACAAATAAAAAACTGAAAAGTGGGGCGTGCAATATTATTCGGCCCCTTTACTTTCAGTGCAGCAAACTCAGTCCAGAAGTTCAGTGAGGATCTTTGAATGATCCAATGTTGTCCTAAATGACTGATGATGATAAATAGAATGCACCTGTGTGTAATCAAGTCTCCGTATAAATGCACCTGCTCTTTGATAGTCTCAGGGTTCTGTTTAAAGCACAGAGAGAACCATGAAGACAAAGGAACACACCAGGCAGGTCCGAGATACTGTTGTGGAGAAGTTTTAAGCCGGATTTGGATACAAAAAGATTTCCCAAGCTTTAAACATCTCAAGGAGCACTGTGCAAGCAATTATATTGAAATGGAAGGAGTATCAGACCACTGCAAATCTACCAAGACCCGGCCGTCCCTCCAAACTTTCATCTCAAACAAGGAGAAGACTGATCAGAGATGCAGCCAAGAGGCCCATGATCACTCTGGATGAACTGCAGATAACTACAGCTGAGGTGGGGATGGTGTGTTCAGGGTGATGAGCTGTGTTGCTTTTACGCCAAACATATCGTTTTGCATTGTGGCCAAAAAGTTCGATTTTGGTTTCATCTGACCAGAGCACCTTCTTCCACATGTTTGGTGTGTCTCCCAGGTGGCTTGTGGCAAACTTTAAACCAGACTTTTTATGGATATCTTTGAGAAATGGCTTTCTTCTTGCCACTCTTCCATAAAGGCCAGATTTGTGCAGTGCACGACTGATTGTTGTCCTATGGACAGACTCTCCCACCTCAGCTGTAGTTATCTGCAGTTCATCTAGAGCGATCATGGGCCTCTTGGCTGCATCTCTGATCAGTCTTCTCCTTGTTTGAGATGAAAGTTTGGAGGGACGGCCGGGTCTTGGTAGATTTGCAGTGGTCTGATACTCCTTCCATTTCAATATAATTGCTTGCACAGTGCTCCTAGAGATGTTTAAAGCTTGGGAAATCTTTTTGTATCCAAATCCGGCTTTAAACTTCTCCACAACAGTATCTCGGACCTGCCTGGTGTGTTCCTTTGTCTTCATGGTTCTCTCTGCGCTTTATAATAAATAATATTGCACGCCCCACTTTTCAGTTTTTTATTTGTTAAAAAAGTTTAAATTATCCAATACATTTCGTTTCACTTCACGATTGTGTCCCACTTGTTGTTGATTCATGACAAAAAATTAAAATTTTATAGCTTTATGTTTGAAGCCTGAAATGTGGCGAAATGTTGAAAGGTTCAAGGGGGCCGAATACTTTCGCAAGGCACTGTATGTGTGTGTGTGTGTGTATGTATCTGTGTGTGTGTGTGTATTTTTAATGAAATATATGAAACAGATCAAAGGTTTGAAGTCCTGAAACAGTACATTAGAGATTGAGGATTATTGAACTTATTATCAGCAGCTATTTATTAGCTCTTTATTGGTTTAAACCTGATTGTAAACTTAACTAACTCACTGGCACTTTCCCCTGTGGGTTAGTGTTAGCATACACTTGTTAGCGCTTAATTAGCTGTTAATCAGTGAGGGCTAATCTAAAGTGTGTGAAGCCATGTCACTGTATAGAAAGTGCCCTGTTTTCATGTAAGACCCATGTCACTGTATAGAAAGTGCCCTGTTTTCATGTAAGACCCATGTCACTGTATAGAAAATGACCTGTTTTCATGTAAGACCCATGTCACTGTATAGAAAGTGCCCTGTTTTCATGTAAGACCCATGTCACTGGACCCTGGCTCTAGAACAGTCACTAGTTTTCACATCATGTGTTTCTGTCTCTGTCACATCTTTACATCAGATCTTTCAGACAGAGAAGTGAGAAAGAGGACCACCCTCTCTCGGCCAATCGGCTCTCGGCCCAAAGAGTCAGATAGTGACTCCCAGGGATCTTTCTGACACAGATGTTTTCTGATGAGACAAACCAAGACAACAGAAACCATCGCTGAACAGATTTGGAGACGATTGGAATCAACAAGAAATAATAATAATAATAATAATGATAATAATTATAATAATAATGAATCAGTTTTATATGTCATTCTCTCTCTCCAAACATGGTGTTGACAAACTATGACTGTAGCCACAGCTGCCCTGGGGCACACTGACAGAAGAGAGGCAAGTCCAAAGTAAGACTGCATTATGCTTACTATGCCACTTTGTAATGATGATGTCACACTTTCCCAGTGAGAGATTCTGAAGTGAGAGAGTGAGATACGAGATGAGGAAGTGAGAGAGTGTGATACGAGATGATGAAGTAAGAGAGTGAGATACGAGATGAGGAAGTGAGAGAGTGTGATACGAGATGATGAAGTGAGAGAGTGTGATACGAGATGATGAAGTGAGAGAGTGTGATACGAGATGATGAAGTGAGAGAGTGAGATACGAGATGAGGAAGTGAGAGAGTGTGATACGAGATGATGAAGTGAGAGAGTGTGATACGAGATGATGAAGTGAGAGAGTGTGATACGAGATGATGAAGTAAGAGTGAGATACGAGATGATGAAGTGAGAGTGTGATACGAGATGAAGTGAGAGTGTGATACGAGATGGAGTGAGAGAGTGTGATACGAGATGATGGAGTGAGAGAGTGTGATACGAGATGATGAAGTGAGAGAGTGTGATACGAGATGATGAAGTGAGAGAGTGTGATACGAGATGATGAAGTGAGAAAGTGTGATACGAGATGATGAAGTGAGAGAGTGTGATACGAGATGATGAAGTGAGAGAGTGAGATACAAGATGATGAAGTGAGAGAGTGTGATACGAGATGATGAAGTGAGAGAGTGTGATACGAGATGATGAAGTAAGAGAGTGAGATACGAGATGATGAAGTGAGAGAGTGTGATACGAGATGAAGTGAGAGAGGGAGATACGAGATGATGAAGTGAGAGAGTGTGATATAAGATGAAGTGAGAGAGTGAGATACAAGATGATGAAGTGAGAGAGTGTGATACAAGATGATGAAGTAAGAGAGTGAGATACAAGATGATGAAGTGAGAGAGTGAGATAGTGAGAGAGTGTGATACGAGATGATGGAGTGAGAGTGTGATATGAGGTTATGAAGTGAGAGAGGGAGATACAAGATGATGAAGTGAGAGAGTGAGATACGAGATGAAGTGAGAGAGTGTGATACGAGATGATGAAGTGAGAGAGTGAGATACGAGATGATGAAGTGAGAGAGTGAGATATGAGATGATGAAGTGAGAGAGTGTGATACAAGATGATGAAGTGAGAGAGTGTGATACGAGATGATGAAGTGAGAGAGAGTGATACGAGATGATGAAGTGAGAGAGTGTGATACGAGATGATGAAGTGAGAGAGTGTGATACGAGATGATGAAGTGAAAGAGTGTGATACGAGATGATGAAGTGAGAGAGTGAGATACGAGATTATGAAGTGAGAGAGGGAGATACAAGATGATGAAGTGAGAGTGAGATACGAGATGAAGTGAGAGAGTGTGATACGAGATGATGGAGTGAGAGAGTGTGATACGAGATGATGAAGTGAGAGAGTGAGATACAAGATGATGAAGTGAGAGAGTGAGATACAAGATGATGAAGTGAGAGAGTGTGATACGAGATGATGAAGTGAGAGAGTGAGATACAAGATGATGAAGTGAGAGAGTGATACGAGATGATGAAGTGAGAGAGTGTGATACGAGATGATGAAGTGAAAGAGTGTGATACGAGATGATGAAGTGAGAGAGTGAGATACGAGATGATGAAGTGAGAGAGTGAGATACGAGATGAAGTGAGAGAGTGAGATACGAGGTGATGGAGTGAGAGTGTGATACGAGATGATGAAGTGAGAGAGTGTGATAGGAGATGATGAAGTGAGAGAGTGTGATACGAGATGATGAAGTGAGAGAGTGTGATAGGAGATGATGAAGTGAGAGAGTGTGATACGAGATTATGAAGTGAGAGAGTGAGATACGAGATGATGAAGTGAGAGAGTGTGATACGAGATGATGAAGTGAGAGTGTGATACGAGATGGAGTGAGAGAGTGTGATACGAGATGATGAAGTGAGAGAGTGTGATACGAGATGATGGAGTGAGAGAGTGTGATACGAGATGATGAAGTGAGAGAGTGTGATACGAGATGATGAAGTGAGAGAGTGTGATACGAGATGATGAAGTGAGAAAGTGTGATACGAGATGATGAAGTGAGAGAGTGTGATACGAGATGATGAAGTGAGAGAGTGAGATACAAGATGATGAAGTGAGAGTGTGATACGAGATGATGAAGTGAGAGAGTGTGATACGAGATGATGAAGTAAGAGAGTGAGATACGAGATGATGAAGTGAGAGAGTGTGATACGAGATGAAGTGAGAGAGGGAGATACAAGATGATGAAGTGAGAGAGTGTGATATAAGATGAAGTGAGAGAGTGTGATACAAGATGATGGAGTGAGAGAGTTCGGAGATAAAGGAGGAAAACAAAAACCTACTTGTCTTAAGTCACTGAAGGCCAACAGCAGAGTGTCGCCCTGGAAGCCTGCGACCGGACCAGACCTGGCAAAACCTGTGGGAACAGAAAGGAGGGGGAGAGGGGGAGGAGAGAGGGGAGAGAGGGGGAGAGAGGGGAGAGAGAGAGGAGAGAGAGGAGAGGAGAGAGGGGAGAGAGAGAGCAGAGAGAGAGGAGAGAGAGGAGAGAGAGGGGAGAGAGGGGGAGAGAGCGGGAGAGAGAAGAGGAGAGAGGAGAGAGAGGGGGAGAGAGAGAAGGAGAGAGAGAGAGAGAGAGGGGGGGGGAGAGAGAGGAGAGGGGGGGAGAGAGGGAGGAGAGAGAGGAGAGGGGGGGGAGAGAGAAGGGGGAGATCAGAATGTCACATGTGTGTCAGAGTTTATGGGGAGTGAGGAGGTGAATGTGAAAGGGTGAGGAAGTGAGGATATGAGAGAGTGAGGGGGTGAGGAGGAGGAGGTGAGTAGGTGAGGAGGTGAAGGGGTGAGGTTGTGAGGGGGTGAGGAGGAGGTGACTCACTCTCGCACTCCTGGACGTCGGTGTTGATCTGGTGCAGAGCTCCCAGAGAGATCTGTCTGAGGTCTGGATCCAGAAGCAGCTGCAGCAGCGACGTGGACATGTGTTTACAGGCAGACATACAGGCCGTCTGCGCCACCTTACCCTGAGGAGAGAGGAGGAGGGAGTCAGAGGAGGAGGGAGGAGGAGGAGAGAGGAGGAGAGAGGAGACATGTGTTTACAGGCAGACATACAGGCCGTCTGCGCCACCTTACCCTGAGGAGAGAGGAGGAGGGAAGAGGAGGAGGAGGGAGGAGGAGGAGAGAGGAGGAGAAAGGAGACATGTGTTTACAGGCAGACATACAGGCCGTCTGCGCCACCTTACCCTGAGGAGAGAGGAGGAGGGAGTCAGATGAGGAGGGAGGAGGAGAGAGGAGGAGAGAGGAGGAGGGAGGAGGAGAGACTGAGACAAGGAAGGAGGAGGAGAGAGGAGGTGAGACCAAGGAGAGAAGATAACTGAGTTAACAGGTCACATGTACACATACATTATGCTACTGTAGCCACAGCTGCCCTGGGGCACACTGACAGAAGCCCCTCCCACCACCACCAACCGTTCAGTGTCCTGCCCTGCTTAGATGGATACAGTCCTCTGGTGTGGCACCTGCACTGTTCAGAGAGAGACCAGAGAGAGAGACCAGGAAGAGGTGAGAAACACAAGAGAGACCAGAGATAGACCAGAGAGAGACCAGAGAGAGACCAGAAAGAGAGACCAGAGATAGACCAGAGACTATAGACCAGAGAGAGAGAAAGACAAGAGAGACCCAGAGAGAGACCAGAGAGAGAGACCAGAGAGAGAGACCAGATAGAGACCAGAGAGAGAGACCAGAGAGAGAGACCAGAGAGAGAGACCAGAAAGAGAGACCAGAAAGAGAGACCAGAGACTATAGACCAGAGAGAGAGAAAGACAAGAGAGACCCAGAGAGAGACCAGAGAGAGAGACCAGAGAGAGAGACCAGAGAGAGAGACCAGAGAGAGAGACCAGAGAGAGACCAGAGAGAGACCAGAGAGAAACCAGAGAGAGACCAGAGAGAGAGACCAGAGAGAGACCAGAGAGAGAGACCAGAGAGAGAGACCAGAGAGAGACCAGAGACTATAGACCAGAGAGAGAAAGACAAGAGAGACCCAGAGAGAGACCAGAGAGAGAGACCAGAGAGAGACCAGAGAGAGAGACCAGAGAGAGAGACCAGAGAGAGACCAGAGAGAAACCAGAGAGAGACCAGAGAGAGACCAGAGAGAGAGACCAGAGAGAGACCAGAGAGAGAGACCAGAGAGAGACCAGAGAGGGAGACCAGAGAGAGAGACCAGAGAGAGAGACCAGAGAGAGAGGCCAGAGAGAGAGGCCAGAGAGAGGCCAGAGAGAGGCCAGAGAGAGGCCAGAGAGAGTGACCAGAGAGAGACCAGAGAGAGAAACCAGAGAGAGAGACCAGAGAGAGACCAGAGAGAGACCAGAGAGAGAGAAGAAAGAGGTGAGAGAACAGAGAGAAACGAGAGAGCAGAGAGAGACCCTAGGAGGGAGGATCCTGCTTAAGACCAGGACCAGGTCTGCACTGGGTCCTGATGAAACCTTTTTAGACTCTTCTGTTCAAACATGTTATTTATTAAACTTACCATCAGCTCCATAATCCCTGATCCATACCAGGTGGGATGTTACTTTCACTATCATTAGGTGTTGGTGAGACATGCCGTTCATCTGTGCCAAAATGCCTTCACTACTGGAGCCACGGTTGTTTAAAGCCACAGGCGTTAGTTTTCTACTTAAAGCTTAGGTCTAATTTATTAATATCTAACTTTAGCTCAAGGTTAAGAAGACGTTAGCACCGCACTCTGTTAGCTCTGAATACTCACCGGGAGAGTGCCATGTTCTATGGGAGATCCCTACAGCAGGAGGAGAGACGGGGGAGGAGGGGGGGACAGGAGGAGAGGTAGAGAGGGAGGAGAGAAGGGAAGGGGCGGAGAGAGGGGGAGGAGGGGTGAGGGAGAGAGAGAGACAGGGGTAAGGAGAGATGGGGGAAGCTGCAATCATTTTTCATAAAAAGAACTGGTGGTCTCTCTCTCTCTGGTCTCTCTCCCTGGTCTCTCTATGATCTCTCTCTCTGGTCTTCCTCTGCTCCCTCCATGGTCTCCCTCTGGTCTCCCTCTGGTCTCTCTCTGGTCTCTCTGGTCTCCCTCCGCTCCCTCCCTGGTCTCCCTCTGGTCTCTCTCTCTGGTCTTCCTCTGCTCCCTCCATGGTCTCCCTCTGGTCTCCCTCTGGTCTCTCTAGTCTCTCTCTGATCTCCCTCTGGTCTCTCTGGTCTCCCTCCGCTCCCTCCCTGGTCTCCCTCCGTGGTCTCCCTCTGGTCTCCCTCTCGTCTCCCACCCTGGTCTCCCACCCTGGTCTCCCTCCCTGGTCTCTTCCTGGTCTCTTCCTGGTCTTTCAGTGCAGACACATATGTGTAAAGGAGAAATCTACCCAGAGGCGTTTTGACGTATTCTGAGATTCGAAGCGTTCCAAAAATGCCCAACATGTGGAAATGATATTTGAAGGATTGGGGGAGATTTGAAAGTGAGGTCACCTGAAACCATCAAAGAGAATTAAAAATTATCAAAGCTCTCCACAGTCTGCAGGCATGTCTTTAAAGCTGGGGTACCTAACTTTGCAGCTTCATAAATACATTTGGTTTGGCCTGATGGAAAGTCTGGTTTAAGTCCCACTTTGACCAGGTTTAGATCTTTCACATACTGAGAGCTGATTGGCTGAGAGAGGCCTGGTCCTTTAATACTGAATCTTCTAAACACAATATTCTGTATGTGGTGATTATCTCCCTCTGGTATCTCCCTCTGGTATCTCTCTCTGCTCTCTCTCTGCTCTCTCTCTGCTCTCTCTCTGCTCTCTCTCTGCTCTCCCTCTGCTCTCCCTCTGCTCTCCCTCTGCTCTCCCTCTGCTCTCCCTCTGCTCTCTCTCTGCTCTCTCTCTGCTCTCTCTCTGCTTCTCTCTCTGCTCTCTCTCTGCTCTCTCTCTGCTCTCTCTCTGCTCTCTCTCTGCTCTCTCTCTGCTTCTCTCTCTGCTTCTCTCTCTGCTTCTCTCTCTGCTTCTCTCTCTGCTCTCTCTCTGCTCTCTCTCTGCTCTCTCTCTGCTCTCTCTCTGCTTCTCTCTCTGGTCTCTCTCTGGTCTCTCTCTGGTCTCTCTCTGGTCTCTCTCTGGTCTCTCTCTGGTCTCTCTCTGGTCTCTCTCTGGTCTCTCTCTGGTCTCTCCCTGGTCTCTCCCTGGTCTCTCTCTGGTCTCTGCAGAGCGCTCACACATTACAGCCTCTCCATATTAGATTAGTGGTGTTTGGTTAGCCCCGCGGCCCTGGTGGCTCTTATATTAGCACCGGGATTATCCACAGCCGCAGTATGTGCCGCGTCACCGTGAGCAGCAGCAGTGTTTAGATCAATGTCGCCTCTGAGCCCGTTGCATAATTAAAGGATTTGGGGTTAAAGAAAGTGACCCAGAGCTCTCTCCTACAGAAATGTAAAAACACTGAGACGCACTGGAGCCGCGGGAACGTCCTGGTCTGACCCGCACGTTCAGCAACACACCTCCTAAACTCACTCTGATCTCTCTCTCACTCCGGTCTCTCGCACGCGCTCCGGTCTCTCGCTCCGGTCTCTCGCGCTCACTCCGGCCTATCGCGCTCACTCCGGCCTATCGCGCTCACTCCGGTCTAACTCCGGTCTATCGCGCTCACTCCGGTCTATCGCGCTCACTCCGGTCTATCGCGCTCACTCCGGTCTATCGCGCTCACTCCGGTCTATCGCGCTCACTCCGGTCTATCGCGCTCACTCCGGTCTATCGCGCTCACTCCGGTCTATCGCGCTCACTCCGGTCTATCGCGCTCACTCCGGTCTATCGCGCTCACTCCGGTCTATCGCGCTCACTCCGGTCTATCGCGCTCACTCCGGCCTATCGCGCTCACTCCGGCCTATCGCGCTCACTCCGGCCTATCGCGCTCACTCCGGCCTATCGCGCTCACTCCGGCCTATCGCGCTCACCTCACTCCGGTCAATCGCGCTCACTCCGGTCTATCGCGCTCACTCCGGTCTATCGCGCTCACTCCGGTCTATCGCGCTCACTCCGGTCTATCGCGCTCACTCCGGTCTATCGCGCTCACTCCGGTCTATCGCGCTCACTCCGGTCTATCGCGCTCACTCCGGTCTATCGCGCTCACTCCGGTCTATCGCGCTCACTCCGGTCTATCGCGCTCACTCCGGTCTATCGCGCTCACTCCGGCCTATCGCGCTCACTTGACTCCGGTCTATCGCGCTCACTCCGGCCTATCGCGCTCACTTGACTCCGGTCAATCGCGCTCACTCCGGTCTATAGGGCTCACTCCGGTCTATCGCGCTCACTCCGGTCTATCGGGCTCACTCCGGTCTATCGCGCTCACTCCGGTCAATCGCGCTCACTCCGGTCTATCGCGCTCACTCCGGTCTATCGCGCTCACTCCGGTCTCTCGCGCTCACTCCGGTCTATCGCGCTCACTCCGGTCTCTCGCGCTCACTCCGGTCTCTCGCGCTCACTCCGGTCTCTCGCGCTCACTCCGGTCTCTCGCGCTCACTCCGGTCTCTCGCGCTCACTCCGGTCTCTCGCGCTCACTCCGGTCTCTCGCGCTCACTCCGGTCTATCGCGCTCACTCCGGTCTATCGCGCTCACTCCGGTCTATCGCGCTCACTCCGGCCTATCGCGCTCACTTGACTCCGGTCAATCGCGCTCACTCCGGTCTATCGGGCTCACTCCGGTCTATCGGGCTCACTCCGGTCTATCGCGCTCACTCCGGTCTATCGGGCTCACTCCGGTACTCCGGTCAATCGCGCTCACTCCGGTCTATCGGGCTCACTCCGGTCTATCGCGCTCACTCCGGTCTATCGCGCTCACTCCGGTCTATCGCGCTCACTCCGGTCTATCGCGCTCACTCCGGTCTATCGCGCTCACTCCGGTCTATCGCGCTCACTCCGGTCTATCGCGCTCACTCCGGTCTATCGCGCTCACTCCGGTCTATCGCGCTCACTCCGGTCTATCGCGCTCACTCCGGTCTATCGCGCTCACTCCGGTCTATCGCGCTCACTCCGGTCTATCGCGCTCACTCCGGTCTTCGCGCTCACTCCGGTCTATCGCGCTCACTCCGGTCTATCGCGCTCACTCCGGTCTATCGCGCTCACTCCGGTCTATCGCGCTCACTCCGGTCTATCGCGCTCACTCCGGTCTATCGCGCTCACTCCGGCCTATCGCGCTCACTTCACTCCGGTCAATCGCGCTCACTCCGGTCAATCGGGCTCACTCCGGTCTACCGGTCTCTCGCGCTCACTCCGGTCTCTCGCGCTCACTCCGGTCTCTCGCGCTCACTCCGGTCTCTCGCGCTCACTCCGGTCTCTCGCGCTCACTCCGGTCTCTCGCGCTCACTCCGGTCTATCGCGCTCACTCCGGTCTCTCGCGCTCACTCCGGTCTCTCGCGCTCACTCCGGTCTATCGCGCTCACTCCGGTCTTCGCGCTCACTCTTCGCGCTCACTCCGGTCTCTCGCGCTCACTCCGGTCTCTCGCGCTCACTCCGGTCTCTCGCGCTCACTCCGGTCTCTCGCGCTCACTCCGGTCTCTCGCGCTCACTCCGGTCTCTCGCGCTCACTCCGGTCTCTCGCGCTCACTCCGGTCTCTCGCGCTCACTCCGGTCTCTCGCGCTCACTCCGGTCTCTCGCGCTCACTCCGGTCTCTCGCGCTCACTCCGGTCTCTCGCGCTCACTCCGGTCTCTCGCGCTCACTCCGGTCTCTCGCGCTCACTCCGGTCTCTCGCGCTCACTCCGGTCTCTCGCGCTCACTCCGGTCTCTCGCGCTCACTCCGGTCTCTCGCGCTCACTCCGGTCTCTCGCGCTCACTCCGGTCTCTCGCGCTCACTCCGGTCTCTCGCGCTCACTCCGGTCTCTCGCGCTCACTCCGGTCTCTCGCGCTCACTCCGGTCTCTCGCGCTCACTCCGGTCTCTCGCGCTCACTCCGGTCTCTCGCGCTCACTCCGGTCTCTCGCGCTCACTCCGGTCTCTCGCGCTCACTCCGGTCTAACTCCGGTCTCTCGCGCTCACTCCGGTCTCTCACTCCGGTCTCTCGCGCTCACTCCGGTCTCTAGCGTGTACTTCAGCCTGTCTGGATTAATACAAACTTTAGACACAGATACTGTTTATCTTCCGTCTAACTTTTCCCTAACTTTTCCCTAACTTTTCCCTAACTTTTCTCTAACTTTTCTCTAACTTTTCTCTAACTTTTCTCTAACTTTTCTCTAACTTTTCTCTAACTTTTCTCTAACTTTTCTCTAACTTTTCTCTAACTTTTCTCTAACTTTTCTCTAACTTTTCTCTAACTTTTCTCTAACTTTTCTCTAACTTCTCTCTCAGTCTCCTCTGGTTCACACCTTCACCGCTCCAGCGATTAGATCCATAACATCTGATCGATTTAAGGGGCCCAGGCCAGACCCGGGCCAGACACGAGGTCAGGGGTGGGGGGTGTGGGGGGTGAGGGGCTAGAGAGAGGACGAGGGGGAAGGCGGGGGAGGAGGGGGGAGAAATCGGCTTAAAACTCCCAAACACTTAGGCCCTGTCCACACGAAGTCAAGCTCAGGCCTAAACGCAAAAATACTTTATCAATCCAGTGTATCGTCCATACGAGGCCGGCGTTTTGGGGGGGTGTAAACGAACATTTTTGAAACTAGGTCCCAGAGTGGAAAGATTTCAAAACTCCGTATATGCCGCTCCGTGGTTACTGCCTCTCCGCAATGTATCTGAGACGCTTGCGTCATCGCCCCGCCTCTTGTTAAAGCACGCATGCGCCGCACTCAGAAAATAATGACAACAACAATGTAGCTTGTTGGTTTTGTAATCCAGTGTGACCCGAAGCAACAGTTCAACCTCATCGTCCGTCCATACTAATGTAGTACCAGCTCGCCCACTCGCCATGTTGTCTGTTTACAACATTCTGCGCATGCCCAGTTCCCGTCACGGAAGTTTGGGCTTGATCCCGTCATTGCGTCACAGCGCCACCAACAGGTCTGGCATAGTTTCACAGCGTTTTCAGGCGTATTGACTACATTCATATGGACGCACACATTTACTGAGCTAACTCCGTGTTTACAGAAAAAGTTTCTGAAATTATAAGCGTTTTGTCTTCGTGTGGATATAGCCTTAGTCCAGGCACGGCTGTGGGTGGCCTTCTGCCCTGTGACCTGAGGACAATCGCATTAACGGGAGGTGAACCAAATCACATTACAGCAGCTCAGGTTTAATTATGTAGCGCTCTTCACATGCACGCTCTTCACATGCGCGCTCTTCACATGCACGCTCTTCACATGCACGCTCTTCACATGCACGCTCTGACAACTGTTGTTTATGTGGTTTTGGAGATTGGGTTTGATCGGGTTTGACCACGCAAATGTTATTATAATACTCTTTTATGAATTATGAAATCATTGACGATCTGTGGAGAGCTGAGAGACCAGAGAGAGACCAGAGAGAGACCAGAGAGAGGCCAGAGAGAGACCAGAGAGAGAGACCAGAGAGAGACCAGAGAGGGACCAGAGAGAGGCCAGAGAGAGAGACCAGAGAGAGACCAGAGAGAGACCAGAGGGAGACCAGAGAGAGACCAGAGAGAGACCAGAGAGAGGCCAGAGAGAAAGACCAGAGAGAGACCAGAGAGAGACCAGAGAGAACCAGAGAGAGACCAGAGAGAGAGACCAGAGAGAGAAACCAGAGAGAGAAACCAGAGAGAGACCAGAGAGAGAGACCAGAGAGAGAGACCAGAGAGAGACCAGAGAGAGACCAGAGAGAGACCAGAGAGAGAGGCCAGAGAGAGACCAGAGAGAGAGGCCAGAGAGAGACCAGAGAGAGGCCAGAGAGAGGCCAGAGAGAGAGACCAGAGAGAGGCCAGAGAGACCAGAGAGAGACCAGAGAGAGACCAGAGAGAGACCAGAGAGAGACCAGAGAGAGACCAGAGAGAGACCAGAGAGAGAGACCAGAGAGAGAGACCAGAGAGAGAAACCAGAGAGAGAGACCAGAGAGAGAGACCAGAGAGAGAGACCAGAGAGAGGCCAGAGAGAGGCCAGAGAGAGACCAGAGAGAGACCAGAGAGAGGCCAGAGAGAGGCCAGAGAGAGAGACCAGAGAGAGGCCAGAGAGAGAGACCAGAGAGAGGCCAGAGAGAGAGACCAGAGAGAGACCAGAGAGAGGCCAGAGAGAGACCAGAGAGAGACCAGAGAGAGACCAGAGAGAGACCAGAGAGAGGCCAGAGAGAGGCCAGAGAGAGACCAGAGAGAGAGACCAGAGAGAGGCCAGAGAGAGACCAGAGAGAGAGACCAGAGAGAGACCAGAGAGAGGCCAGAGAGAGAGGCCAGAGAGAGGCCAGAGAGAGGCCAGAGAGAGACCAGAGAGAGACCAGAGAGAGACCAGAGAGAGACCAGAGAGAGACCAGAGAGAGACCAGAGAGAGACCAGAGAGAGACCAGAGAGAGGCCAGAGAGAGGCCAGAGAGAGAGACCAGAGAGAGACCAGAGAGAGACCAGAGGGAGACCAGAGAGAGACCAGAGAGAGACCAGAGAGAGGCCAGAGAGAGGCCAGAGGGTAAGACCAGAGAGAGACCAGAGACAGACCAGAGAGAGACCAGAGAGAGACCAGAGAGAGACCAGAGAGAGACCAGAGAGAGACCAGAGAGAGACCAGAGAGAGACCAGAGAGAGACCAGAGGGAGACCAGAGGGAGACCAGAGAGAGACCAGAGGGAGACCAGAGAGAGACCAGAGAGAGAGACCAGAGAGAGACCAGAGAGAGACCAGAGGGAGACCAGAGAGAGACCAGAGGGAGACCAGAGAGAGACCAGAGAGAGAGACCAGAGAGAGAGCAGCTGAATGATTGTATTTTCACTTCTTTTTCAATGATAACTGATCATTAATGTTTTCCGAAGATCTTTGAGTTGTGTATGGACTGTGCTATACAACTAAACTTGCCTGTACACATTTGAACACATCCCAGAGTGAATACATGTTATTATCAGTCTGTTATGTTTATTTTTCCTGGTTGAATAAATGTTAAAATATACATATATATAAATATCCTCAACAACAAAGGCAGGTCTATAAAACACACCATTTTCTTCTTCAATAGTAAAAAAGGCGGGACATGTTCAAAGTCTCATTGTCTCCTCCTCAGTGTGAGTGAATAAAGTGCTTATTTGGGCCCAATGGAGTCAATATCCTGCCCCGGGGGTAATCCTGGCCCGGCTGACCGTCTAAGAGGCTTACGTGGCCCCATCCAGACCAAGGCTAACGACCAGGGCTAACGAGCTGGGACCCGCTCAAGCTAATCCTGCTAACGTCAACACCACAGCGACAAGAGGCATGTAGCAGCTAGCGACGTCTGCAGAGGTCTGAGAGAGAGCAGGGAGGAGAGAGAGAGAGCAGGGAGGAGAGAGAGAGAGCAGGGAGGAGAGGGAGAGAGCAGGTGGAAGAGAGAGAGCAGGGAGGAGAGGGAGAGAGCAGGTGGAAGAGAGAGAGCAGGGAGGAGAGGGAGAGAGCAGGTGGAAGAGAGAGAGCAGGGAGAAGAGAGAGAGAGAGCAGGGAGGAGAGAGAGAGAGCAGGTGTAAGAAAGAGAGCAGGGAGAAGAGAGAGAGAGAGCAGGGAGAAGAGCACAGGTCTCTCTCTCTCTCTCTCTGAAGCAGTCAGTGGGACTCACGGGGAGGTTGGTGAACACGCTGAAGGTGCTCCGCAGAAAGGCCAGCAGGTCGATGAGGTAGTCGCTGACGTCACAAGCCCCGCCCCCCGGCACCGGAGCCAGCCAATCGTAGTCCGCCAGCTGCAGGAACTGGTCGATCTTGGCGTTGATGCTGGTGTAGATCTCCGCCTCCGCCGCGTGGCACGCGTCCTGCCACAGAAGTACTTCATTTATTCAATTCTATCTACTTTTGTATCGCCCTAAATCACATGGACTGCTCCAACACAGATCAGAGTATCAACCATGTACGTCTGAGTCTTACCATGTGCAAACTCTGGTCCATGATCATTTCCTACATGTACGTCTGAGTCTTACCATGTGCAAACTCTGGTCCATGATCATTTCCTACATGTACGTCTGGTCTTACCATGTGTAAACTCTGGTCCATGATCATTTCCTACATGTACGTCTGGTCTTACCATGTGTAAACTCTGGTCCATGATCATTTCCTAACTCTGGCAGTAACTCTGGCAGTAACTCTGGCAGTAACTCTGGCAGTAACTCTGGCAGTAACTCTGGCAGTAACTCTGGCAGTAACTCTGGCAGTAACTCTGGCAGTAACTCTGGCAGTAACTCTGGCAGTAACTCTGGCAGTAACTCTGGCAGTAACTCTGGCAGTAACTCTGGCAGTAACTCTGGCAGTAACTCTGGCAGTAACTCTGGCAGTAACTCTGGCAGTAACTCTGGCAGTAACTCTGGCAGTAACTCTGGCAGTAACTCTGGCAGTAACTCTGGCAGTAACTCTGGCAGTAACTCTGGCAGTAACTCTGGCAGTAACTCTGGCAGTAACTCTGGCAGTAACTCTGGCAGTAACTCTGGCAGTAACTCTGGCAGTAACTCTGGCAGTAACTCTGGCAGTAACTCTGGCAGTAACTCTGGCAGTAACTCTGGCAGTAACTCTGGCAGTAACTCTGGCAGTAACTCTGGCAGTAACTCTGGCAGTAACTCTGGCAGTAACTCTGGCAGTAACTCTGGCAGTAACTCTGGCAGTAACTCTGGTAGATACTATGGCAGTAACTCTGGCAGTAACTCTGGCAGTAACTCTGGCAGTAACTCTGGCAGTAACTCTGGCAGTAACTCTGGCAGTAACTCTGGCAGTAACTCTGGCAGTAACTCTGGCAGTAACTCTGGCAGTAACTCTGGCAGTAACTCTGGCAGTAACTATGGCAGTAACTCTGGCAGATACTATGGCAGTAACTCTGGCAGATACTATGGCAGTAACTCTGGTAGATACTATGGCAGTAACTCTGGTAGATACTATGGCAGTAACTCTGGTAGATACTATGGCAGTAACTCTGGTAGATACTATGGCAGTAACTCTGGTAGATACTATGGCAGTAACTCTGGTAGATACTATGGCAGTAACTCTGGTAGATACTATGGCAGTAACTCTGGTAGATACTATGGCAGTAACTCTGGTAGATACTATGGCAGTAACTCTGGTAGATACTATGGCAGTAACTCTGGTAGATACTATGGCAGTAACTCTGGTAGATACTATGGCAGTAACTCTGGTAGATACTATGGCAGTAACTCTGGTAGATACTATGGCAGTCACTCTGGTAGATACTATGGCAGTCACTCTGGTAGATACTATGGCAGTCACTCTGGTAGATACTATGGCAGTAACTCTGGTAGATACTATGGCAGTAACTCTGGTAGATACTATGGCAGTCACTCTGGTAGATACTATGGCAGTAACTCTGGTAGATACTATGGCAGTGACTCTGGTAGATACTATGGCAGTAACTCTGGTAGATACTATGGCAGTAACTCTGGTAGATACTATGGTATATACTATGGCAGTAACTCTGGTAGATACTATGGTAGTAACTCTTGTAGATACTATGGTAGTAACTCTTGTAGATACTATGGTAGTAACTCTTGTAGATACTATGGTAGTAACTCTTGTAGATACTATGGTAGTAACTCTTGTAGATACTATGGCAGTAACTCTGGTAGATACTATGACAGTAACTCTGGTAGATACTATGGCAGTAACTCTGGTAGATACTATGGCAGTAACTCTGGTAGATACTATGGCAGTAACTCTGGTAGATACTATGGCAGTAACTCTGGTAGATACTATGGCAGTAACTCTGGTAGATACTATGGCAGTAACTCTGGTAGATACTATGGCAGTAACTCTGGTAGATACTATGGTATATACTATGGCAGTAACTCTGGTAGATACTATGGCAGTAACTCTGGTAGATACTATGGTATATACTATGGCAGTAACTGGTAGATACTATGGCAGTAACTCTGGTAGATACTATGGTATATACTATGGCAGTAACTGGTAGATACTATGGCAGTAACTCTGGTAGATACTATGGTATATACTATGGCTGTAACTCTGGTAGATACTATGGCAGTAACTCTGGTAGATACTATGGTATATACTATGGCAGTAACTCTGGTAGATACTATGGCAGTAACTCTGGTAGATACTATGGCAGTAACTCTGGTAGATACTATGGTATATACTATGGCAGTAACTCTGGTAGATACTATGGTAGTAACTCTTGTAGATACTATGGTAGTAACTCTTGTAGATACTATGGCAGTAACTCTTGTAGATACTATGGCAGTAACTCTGGTAGATACTCTGGTAGATACTATGGCAGTAACTCTGGTAGATACTATGGCAGTAACTCTGGTAGATACTATGGCAGTAACTCTGGTAGATACTATGGCAGTAACTCTGGTAGATACTATGGTATATACTATGGCAGTAACTCTGGTAGATACTATGGCAGTAACTCTGGTAGATATTATGGTAGTAACTCTGGTAGATACTATGGCAGTAACTCTGGTAGATACTATGGCAGTAACTCTGGTAGATATTATGGTAGTAACTCTGGTAGATATTCTGGTAGTAACTATGGTAGTGACTTTGGCAGAGACCTTGAAGGTGGAGGGCCCGTAGAGCTTGGTGGCGCTGACGGCGTCCAGGGGAACGTTGGTGATGTTGGAGATGAACTCCTCCAGGAAGTGGCAGCTGTGCTCCAGGTGAGTGCTGTTGATGATGAGCTGCACCAACTGCACAACACACAAAACAAACCAGTGTCCGGGGAAATTCCTTGGTAGCCATGGCTTCCAGCAGCACTCTGGCCCATCAATGTCAGATAGAATAGAGTAGAGTAGAGTAGAGTAGAGTAGGGTAGGGTAGGGTAGGGTAGGGTAGAGTAGGGTAGGGTCGGATCGGGTCGGGTCGGGCAAGGTAGGGTAGAGTAGAGTAGAGTAGAGTAGGGTAGGGTAGGGTAGGGTAGGGTAGAGTAGGGTAGGGTAGGGTAGGGTAGGGTCGGGTAGGGTAGGGCAGGGTAGGGTAGAGTAGAGTAGAGTAGTTAAATACAACATCTTTAAAGTAAATATTCTCGCTGTAATTTGACAACAATGATGGATAGAATGTCTTCCTTAATCCCCTTGGAGTCTGTGGTGTTGTGCTATACAGATAAAAGTACCTCAGCGAGCCCCACGTTCTTCTTCTTGATGCCGTACTGCAGACAGTGGCTCAGGGTCCGGGTCAGCAGCACGTTTGTGGACTTACGGATCATATCGTCCACTTCAGACGAGCTTCAACACACAAAGAACCAATCAGACCAGGACCAGGACCAGGGCCAGGGCCAGGGCCAGGGCCAGGACCAGGACCAGGACCAGGGCCAGGACCAGGGCCAGGACCAGGGCCAGGACCAGGGCCAGGACCAGGGCCAGGGCCAGGACCAGGGCCAGGACCAGGACCAGGACCAGGGCCAGGGCCAGGACCAGGGCCAAGACTTGTCCTGGGAGTCACTATTTGACTCTGTGGGCTGAGAGCGGATTGGCTGAGAGAGAATTGTCCCCTTTATGTCACTTTTCTGTCTCAAAGATGTGACAGAGACACTACATGTGATAACTCGACCAAGACTTTCTCTTTATCCTCTCTCCTCCTTTTCCTCTCTCCCTCTTTCCCCTCCCTCGCTTTCTCCTCTCTCATTTCTCCCTCCTCTCTCCCTCCTCTCCCTCCTCTCTCTCCTCTCTCCCTCCTCTGCCTCCTCTCTCTCCCTTCTCTCCCTCTCTCCTCCTCCTCTCTACCCCCTCTCTCTCCTCTCTCAGACATGTCAGACTGGTCCTGGTTTGTTTTCGTGGCATCTCCACAGATCCAAAGCAGTTCAGTTTGAGCAGAATGATTGATGGAGTAACGAAGGCGTTCGGAGCCAGGATCACCTCGTTCAGGTCCAGCTCCTCAGAGACAGACTCAGTCCTGGTTCTGAGGTTTTCCAGTTTGAATAAAAGGTTAAAGGAGACGTATCGTGCTCCTGTCTGCTCTAAAGAGATGGATATGGTTGACTATTTTATATCCAAGACTGGTCGGCACAGACATATCAGGAACTATCACAGTTTGTAAAGTCCAAGTCCAAGTCTCTGGCCCCACAAGTCCAAGTCTCTGGCCCCACAGTTCTGTCCAGTGAGTCACATTGAACTACACCAGTCTCTCTCTTTGTGAAGGAAACCAGTTGAATGTGATCCAATATAAAAACTTCCGTCATAGAACCGTGCAATAATCCTCCATGTTTTCTGCCCCCAGTTAAGCCCCGCCCACGTCAGTGACATAGGCCACAGAAATCTGAAAATGAGCTTGTATGAAACGCCCTCAGAGTGAAATAAGAAACTTGAAAGATAATATTTGCCTTAAATGAATCGCTCGTTTTAATCATGCACATTTTTTCATTTGTTGTTTTATTTCAATCACTTCCTGTATGAGTTTGGCGGTGACGGTATGGTTGCTATCGGTAACGTCTACGGAACTCCCATCACCGTAGCAACCACCTTTGATCTGAGGTCATTCCAGAACGTTGTGATGTCACTGTTTGGAGCTGGTTCAGTTCACCTCAACTCGGACTTCAGAGCCGAGGTTTAGGACTGGGTCTAGTCTAGCGGGTCTTTAGACTCTCCCTTCCCCCGCCTGGGTTCCAACTGAGTCTGAGAAACAGAAACTGCTGAATTCTATTTAGAGCAGATCGCTGTAATCACTGGGAAAGTTCACCAAATCTCACTTGAGTTATACTGAGTTTCTGTGTCGAATAGTTCCAAGCTACTCTGAGGATGGAGAATCGAAGTGTCGCAGAGGAAGACACCAAAGAGTTTTGGAAGTGGAAGTCTCTGAGACTTTCAGAATCCAACAGTCAGAAAAACCAAGAACTGTTTGCCATTATGGACCAGCTGAAGACCGAGAACCGGGACTTGACCCAGGCCACGCTAACGCAAGCCGCGCAGCTAACACGGCTCCAAGCGGAGCTGGAGGACTGCAAAAGCAAGTGCGAGAGTGCAGAGAAGAGGTGCGAGTCTGCGGAGAACCTGGGCGAGATCTACAGGCAGAAGTTCTTGGAGACCAAAGGGGAGTTCGCCAAAGTCAAGAGCGCGTACGAGAAGGACCTGGCGGGGAAGCACGAGGCCTACAGAAACGACCTGACCCGTCTGGAGGTCCTCAAGAAGTTCAAAGTGGCACAGGTGAATACAGAGCTGAAGAACGAGAGAGCACAACGAGAGAGCAAGCAGAGCGAGCTGAGCCAGAGACTGCAGGAGGCGCAGGAGTCTGCCAGTCGGACCATCAGAGAGAGAGACGGGACCATCGCAGAGTTAAGGAAGTCCAACAAGGAGAAGTTAGAGGAGCTCCAACAGGCGCGAGTCAAGCACCTCCGAGACCTCGCAGCAACCCGGCAATCGGTGGAGTTTGAGTACGAGAGCCAGATCGCCAAGCTCAACGACAACATGGAGGATCTGAAGAACAAACTGAAGGAGCAGAAGAGCAAACTGGTGCAGAAGAACGTGAAGATCAACACGTTGGACAAGCAGAAGCAGGACCTGACCATGACCGTGCAGGGCAAAGACGAACACTTGAGAATCCAGGCCAACGAGAAGAAGCAGACCCAGCAGCAGCTCAACGGCGAGGAGCTGCTGGGGACACAGCTGGAGGTGAGGCTCAAGACGCTAACGGAGGCTAAAGAGAAGCTAGAGCAGGAGAGCAGAGAGCTGAAGGAGCAGCAGGAGAGGAACAAGACGCAGCTCCTGACGCTGAAAGACGAGAACAACGACCTCAACCGCAAAGTGCAGACGCTGAAGCAGAAGCTGCTGAGCGTGCAGCCGGTCCTGCGCCAGGAGAGGGACAAGTGCGAGGCCATGGCCAAGAAGAACCGGGACTTTGTAGCCGGTCTGGACGGGTGCAGGGAGGTACTGGCGGAACCTCGGAAGCTAAAGGCCAAGGTGGTGGCTCTGATCGCCGCGCACGTGGAAGGGAACGCCAACGTGCACGTGGATAGAGACGCTCACAACCTGAACGTAATGATGTCCAACACCATCAGAGAGCTGGTCCAGCGCCATGACAGGATCGTGTCCCACCACAAGAGGGAGACAGAGCACGCCCGGGGCGCCGCCAAGAACGCAGAGGTGCGCGCCGACCGGGAGAAGATGGCGCTGGTCACATACATCAACAAACAGAGAATGGAGTCCATGAAGACCCCAGTGAGGAAATGAATGAATGAATTAGAGCAAACAAGAGCAGCCCTAAACCCGAGACACTAGAGCAATAAAAAGCATGAATATAAAGCATTTGGCTGAATATGTGTGTGATCTTTAACCCTTTAGGAAAGAATCAGGATTCTTACATGATCTCATGGTCTGTGGTCTCCCAATACTCTCGCACTACTAGGGTCTCTCTTTCGGGTCTCTCTCTTGGGTCTCTCTCTGGTCTCTCTCTGGTCTCTTACCTCAGATGCAGATCCTCAGAGTACTTGAGACAGGCGTAGATGAACTCTTTGAGCTGACAGTAAACTTTAGGCACAAACTCAGAGAACGGCAACTTCTTTGGGAACGGCAGCTGCAGAAACACACACAGCGTTAGCATCAGCGCTAACGAGGTCAGCAACAAATGTTAGCATCAGCACTGATGAGGTCAGTAACAAACGTTAGCATAAGCGCTAATTAAAGTTAAAGCTGCACTAACTGATTTGGAGAAAATTTCAAACGCGAGCGATGAGCTCCCTCTCTCTGCTCGCCCTCCCCGCACCCACGGAGCTTTCGCCCCCACTACCCCCTCCCCCGCAGCCTCTGCTCTGTGCTATTGTTAGCTTCGGAGCTAGCGTTGGAGCTAGCTTCTCACAATATGGAACAATATGGCACTTTTACACGTGGATGGCGTGATCACAGAATGACAGTACCGGGAAGCGCGGAGAGGACGAGACTTTCTTTTGGCTGTTTTGCTGAGTAAGCAGTAACAAATACAGCTGTCTGTGCTAACCACAGACCTGTAGCTTTTCTCACAAAAGTGGGGGCCAGTGGTCCGCTGTGATTGGTCACAATCTGAGACCCAAAACACTTTCTCTTCCTTGTTTCATCAAAACTCAATCTAAAATATAATGTCACGCCAGCACAAATCTGTGATACTTATTCTTCAAAAGGATGTTCATCCCACTGCACTGCACGGACATGGATAGACTTTAACTAATGAATACAAACATAGAGTCAGTTAGTGCAGCTTTAATAGTTACTTCCGGGTTTATTACGATCGCTTTTTGTGTCATTAAAACGGTATTTTTGTCATGAAAATGTGTTAAGAATGTATTTGTATCATGTATTTCAATCTGTTATTGATTGTTATTACGTGTTGATTGAGCGTGGCTAGCTCCGATAGCATCTCTCACAGAGACAGTGGTGACGAAGTGTGTGAACTACTTGCGGAGTAATCTACACCTGAATTAAAAGCAGAGAGTGCGTTGCCAAAGGGCAGCGGTCATTATTGGTTTGAGGGTCTGTTATCAAGAAATAATGAGCAGTAGAACGCCGCCCTCTGGTCGGTCAGAACGCCGCCCTCTGGTCGGTCAGAACGCCGCCCTCTGGTCGGTCAGAACGCCGCCCTCTGGTCGGTCAGAACGCCGCCCTCTGGTCGGTCAGAACGCCGCCCTCTGGTCGGTCAGAACGCCGCCCTCTGGTCGGTCAGAACGCCGCCCTCTGGTCGGTCAGAACGCCGCCCTCTGATCGGTCAGAACGCCGCCCTCTGATCGGTCAGAACGCTGCCCTCTGATCGGCCAGAACGCCGCCCTCTGATCGGCCAGAACGCCGCCCTCTGATTGGCCAGAACGCCGCCCTCTGTGCACATGCATGTGACACATACGTATTTAGCACAAAGCATCATGGGAGCTCGTCCACTGCACAGATCCAGGAGCGATGCCCAAATATGGACGAGTTCTACTAATCTTTTGATGGCCATAGGGGACGCTACTGAGCACGAGCCACTGATTTGAATAGGCCGCCATCTTGGATCACCGAGGCTTGAATATCTAGTCGGACTGGACGATAGAGCGATGGCCCCGCCTCTGCTGCTGGGACCTGAGGTGATGTTGGATTTTATTTCTATTTTTAGCTAATTCTTTAGAATGATTTTTGTTTGTTTGTTTGGACGTGTTTCTGCTGCTGCCAGACACCTGCTTTTCCCCAACACGGATCAATAAGCCCTGTGTAGAAAAGGCGGGCGACTGATTGGTTGGTTGATCGGGTGATTGATTGATTGGTTGATGGTAGCGTCACCTTCTCCAGCTCTGGGTCCTGCAGAGGGAACTGTGAGGTGTAGAGTCTGAAGTCCTCGTCTGTGGACACTGGGATGGGACTGTAGTTGTCCTGGTCCAAGGCCTGTCTGTGGACACAAGACACATCAGTGAGAGAGAGTGAGTGGTCTCTCTCTCGGGTCTCCTCTCTCTCTGGTCTCTCTCTCTGGTCTCTCTCTCTGGTCTCTCTCTCTGGTCTCTCTCTCTGGTCTCTCTCTCTGGTCTCTCTCTCTGGCCTCTCTCTCTGGTCTCTCTCTCTGGTCTCTCTCTCTGGTCTCTCTCTGGTCTCTCTCTCTGGTCTCTCTCTGGTCTCTCTCTGGTCTCTCTCTGGCCTCTCTCTGTCTGGTCTCTCTCTCTGGCCTCTCTCTCTGGCCTCTCTCTCTGGTCTCTCTCTCTGGTCTCTCTCTCTGGTCTCTCTCTGGTCTCTCTCTGGTCTCTCTCTGGTCTCTCTCTGGTCTCTCTCTCTGGTCTCTCTCTCTGGTCTCTCTCTCTGGTCTCTCTCTCTGGTCCCTCTCTCTGGCCTCTCTCTGGTCTCTCTCTGGTCTCTCTCTCTGGTCCCTCTCTCTGGTCTCTCTCTGCTCTCTCTCTGGTCTCTCTCTCTGGTCTCTCTCTCTGGTCTCTCTCTTGTCCCCTCTCTGCCCTGGTGCGTGAGTGAGTGTAGGAAGTGCCTGTTTGTTCCTCTGGTATGCTCCCTCTGGTGTCATTCTAGTCGCTGGTGTTAAAAAAACCTTTGAACAATGGTGTTTCGAAGGACAGGGCTTCCTCCTGCGCCCTCGCTCTCTGGACACTCGTTAAACCTCCAGAACCTTCAAAACCAGCGCTTTTCCCACAAACACTGTTCTGGTGCTGAGCCGGCGGACCACAAAAACAACAGGTCACACCAGAGTTCACAGAAGGGTCTCTCTCTCTGGTCTCTCTCTCTGGTCTCTCTCTCTGGTCCCCCTCTGGTCTCTCTCAGGTCCCCCTCTGGTCTCTCTCAGGTCCCCCTCTGGTCTCTCTCAGGTCCCCCTCTGGTCTCTCTCAGGTCCCCCTCTGGTCTCACTCTGGTCTTTACCTGAACATGAGGTTCCAGCGTCGTAGAAGTATCTCTGAGTACTGCTCCCTGATCTCCAGAAGCATGTCAAAGAGCTGAGACACTGGGAAACCATAGCCCTAATCACAGAGAGAGAGAGAGAGAGACAGACCAGCGAGAGACACACAGAGAGAGAGACCAGAGAGAGACACAGAGAGACAAAGAGAGAGACCAGAGAGAGAGACACAGAGAGACAAAGAGAGAGAGACACACACACACACATATTTACATAAACACACATACACACAAATCAGCGACGTCCAGAGACAGACACACAGAGGATGAAGTAGATGTACCTGCAGTGTGTCTGCAAACACCACGATCAGGTTCTTCAGATCCAGCACCAGGTCTGGGTCTTCACAGTAAGACTGAGAGAGAGCAAAGTGAGAGAGAGCACCCCCACCACAGGGAGAGGGAGAGAGAGAGAGAGAACACAAACACATGTCAGAGAGAAAACACACATCAAGGAGCCTCAGCCTCAGTCCTGGGTCTACAGCCTCAGTCCTGGGTCTACAGCCTCAGTCCTGGGTCTACAGTCTCAGTCCTGGATCTACAGCCTCAGTCCTGGATCTACAGCCTCAGTCCTGGATCTACAGCCTCAGTCCTGGATCTACAGCCTCAGTCCTGGATCTACAGCCTCAGTCCTGGGTCTACAGCCTCAGTCCTGGGTCTACATTCTCAGTCCTGGATCTACAGCCTCAGTCCTGGGTCTACAGCCTCAGTCCTGGGTCTACAGCCTCAGTCCTGGATCTACAGTCTCAGTCCTGGGTCTACAGCCTCAGTCCTGGATCTACAGCCTCAGTGCTGGGTCTACAGCCTCAGTCCTGGATCTACAGCCTCAGTCCTGGATCTACAGCCTCAGTCCTGAGTCTACAGCCTCAGTCCTGGGTCTACAGCCTCAGTCCTGGGTCTACAGCCTCAGTCCTGGGTCTACAGCCTCAGTCCTGGGTCTACAGTCTCAGTCCTGGGTCTACAGCCTCAGTCCTGGGTCTACAGCCTCAGTCCTGGGTCTACAGTCTCAGTCCTGGGTCTACAGTCTCAGTCCTGGGTCTACAGTCTCAGTCCTGGGTCTACAGCCTCAGTCCTGGGTCTACAGTCTCAGTCCTGGATCTACAGTCTCAGTTCTGGGTCTACAGCCTCAGTCCTGGGTCTACAGCCTCAGTCCTGGGTCTACAGCCTCAGTCCTGGGTCTACAGTCTCAGTCCTGGATCTACAGTCTCAGTCCTGGGTCTACAGTCTCAGTCCTGGGTCTACAGCCTCAGTCCTGGGTCTACAGCCTCAGTCCTTGTACCGAGTGAGTCCTCAGAGCTGCTGTAGTCTTGGACAGAGCCAGGTCCCAGAGCTCCTCCACATAGGCCCGGTTCACCAGGCCCTGCGTCGTGTGGAGAACATGGTCCTCCACCACAAAGAACCTGCAAACACAGAAGTTCAGAGAGAGAGACAAGAGCGAGACCAGAGAGAGAGACCAGAGAGAGACCAGAGAGAGGCCAGAGAGAGACCAGAGAGAGACCAGAGAGAGAGAGAGACCAGTGAGAGGCCAGAGAGAGAGAGAGACCAGAGAGAGGCCAGAGCAAGACCAGAGAGAGGCCATAGAGAGAGACCAGAGAGAGACCAGAGAGAGGCCATAGAGAGGCCATAGAGAGACCAGAGAGAGACCAGAGAGAGGCCATAGAGAGGCCATAGAGAGACCAGAGAGAGACCAGAGAGAGACCAGAGAGAGACCAGAGAGAGGCCAGAGAGAGGCCAGACAGAGACCAGAGAGAGGCCAGAGAGAGACCAGAGAGAGACCAGAGAGAGGCCAGAGAGAGGCCAGACAGAGACCAGTGAGAGGCCAGAGAGAGAGAGAGACCAGAGAGAGGCCAAAGAGAGGCCAGAGAGAGGCCAGAGAAAGACCAGAGAGAGGCCAAAGAGAGGCCAGAGAGAGGCCAGAGAAAGACCAGAGAGAGGCCATAGAGAGACCAGAGAGAGACCAGAGAGAGACCAGAGATAGAGAGACCAGAGAGAGACCAGAGATAGAGACCAGAGAGAGGCCATAGAGAGACCAGAGAGAGAGAGGCCAGAGAGAGACCAGAGAGAGACCAGAGAGAGGCCAGAGAGAGGCCAGACAGAGACCAGTGAGAGGCCAGAGAGAGAGAGAGACCAGAGAGAGGCCAAAGAGAGGCCAGAGAGAGGCCAGAGAAAGACCAGAGAGAGGCCAAAGAGAGGCCAGAGAGAGGCCAGAGAAAGACCAGAGAGAGGCCATAGAGAGACCAGAGAGAGACCAGAGAGAGACCAGAGATAGAGAGACCAGAGAGAGACCAGAGATAGAGACCAGAGAGAGGCCATAGAGAGACCAGAGAGAGAGAGACCAGAGAGAGGCCAGAGAGAGAGACCAGAGAGAGGCCAGAGACAGGGATTGGAGTTAGACCAGAGAGAGAGAGACCAGAGAGAGACCAGAAACATGTGAGCTAGATTTTTTTACTTTCATTTTTTTCCTTTCAAATCAACTTGTTTTGTGTATAAATGACGGCTACATACTGAGCTAAAAGAGTTTCTCTCAGTGTGAACGAGGCCACAGATCCTCACTGCAGCCGACTGAAGAAGCTAACAATGGTTTCTCTCGTGCCTGGTTTGAATCGGAACAATGGTTTCATAAACCCTGGTTTCATAAACGCTGTTTTCCTAAATGCTGGTTTCCTAAAGGCTCGTTCTGGTCTTGTTCTTCCCCAATGATCTGCTAAAACTGGACCCGGACTAAAACCAACAGAGTGAAACCCTGGCGTCCGAAGTGGGAGTGATGGATGTCGGAAAGACGTCAGGAGCCAGTCAAACCAGCTGTCACTCACATGGTCCTTCAGGCACCAGCTGCGGCCAAACAACACACGGCAAACACAATGGAAGCAGAAACCAGAAGCAGACAGAGACCAGGACCAGCCTGGACCAGACAACGGAAGAATGTATGGAGTAAGATGTTTTGTGTTTTTTTTGGTCTCTCTCTCTGGTCCCTCTCTCCTGTCCCTCTCTCCTGTCTCTCTCTCCTGTCTCTCTCTCCTGTCTCTCTCTCCTGTCTCTCTCTCCTGTCTCTCTCTCCTGTCTCTCTCTCCTGTCTCGCTCTCCTGTCTCGCTCTCCTGTCTCGCTCTCCTGTCTCGCTCTCCTGTCTCGCTCTCCTGTCTCGCTCTCCTGTCTCGCTCTCCTGTCTCGCTCTCCTGTCTCGCTCTCCTGTCTCGCTCTCCTGTCTCTCTCTCTCCTGTCTCTCTCTCCTGTCTCTCTCTCCTGTCTCTCTCTCCTGTCCCTCTCTCCTGTCCCTCTCTCCTGTCTCTCTCTCCTGTCTCTCTCTCCTGTCCCTCTCTCCTGTCCCTCTCTCCTGTCTCTCTCTCCTGTCTCTCTCTCCTGTCTCGCTCTCCTGTCTCGCTCTCCTGTCTCTCTCTCCTGTCTCTCTCTCCTGTCCCTCTCTCCTGTCCCTCTCTCCTGTCTCTCTCTCCTGTCTCTCTCCTGTCCCTCTCTCCTGTCCCTCTCTCCTGTCTCTCTCTCCTGTCTCTCTCTCTCTCTCCTGTCTCTCTCTCTCTCCTGTCTCTCTCTCTCTCCTGTCTCTCTCTCTCTGGTCTCTCTCTCTGGTCTCTCTCTCTGGTCTCTCTCTCTGGTCTCTCTCCTGTCTCCCCCCCTCTTTGGTCTCTCTCGTTTCAAAAGTCTAGCTTCTGTCGGCTACAGTGATCCTCTATGACACCAGTAGTTCATTAACATTCATAAACCAAAATAAAGCTGGGGTTTGTAACTTTAAAACCACAACAATGGAACAATAACATTGAATCTCACTCGTTTCTCGCTCTCGGCCCACGCTCACTCCGCCAATCAAACTAAACAGTCAGGTACTCCAGCTTTAACGACTGCAGAATAAGTCTGGGGTTTTATGACGTACCCGACTATTTGATTGAAGTAGCGTCTGTATCCGTCCAGCGTCTCGTGCTGTTGAACAGGAAGTACTTTCAGGGGTGAGGTGTGTTCAGACCAGGAGTGAGGTGTGTTCAGACCAGGGGTGAGGTGTGTTCAGACCAGGAGTGAGGTGTGTTCAGACCAGGGGTGAGGTGTGGTCAGACCAGGGGTGAGGTGTGGTCAGACCAGGGGTGAGGTGTGGTCAGACCAGGGGTGAGGTGTGTTCAGACCAGGGGTGAGGTGTGTTCAGACCAGGGGTGAGGTGTGGTCAGACCTGGGGTGAGGTGTGGTCAGACCAGGGGTGAGGTGTGTTCGGACCAGGGGTGAGGTGTGTTCGGACCAGGGGTGAGGTGTGTTCGGACCAGGGGTGAGGTGTGTTCGGACCAGGGGTGAGGTGTGTTCGGACCAGGGGTGAGGTGTGTTCAGACCAGGGGTGAGGTGTGTTCAGACCAGGGGTGAGGGGTGAGGTGAGTTCAGACCAGGGGTGAGGTGTGTTCAGACCAGGGGTGAGGGGTGAGGTGAGTTCAGACCAGGGGTGAGGTGTGTTCAGACCAGGGGTGAGGTGTGTTCGGACCAGGGGTGAGGTGTGTTCAGACCAGGGGTGAGGTGTGGTCAGACCAGGGGTGAGGTGTGGTCAGACCAGGGGTGAGGTGTGTTCAGACCAGGGGTGAGGTGTGTTTGGACCAGGGGTGAGGTGTGTTCGGACCAGGGGTGAGGTGTGTTCAGACAAGGGGTGAGGTGTGTTCAGACAAGGGGTGAGGTGTGGTCAGACCAGGGGTGAGGTGTGGTCGGACCAGGGGTGAGGTGTGTTCGGACCAGGGGTGAGGTGTGTTCAGACCAGGGGTGAGGTGTGGTCAGACCAGGGGTGAGGTGTGTTCAGACCAGGGGTGAGGTGTGTTCAGACCAGGGGTGAGGTGTGGTCAGACCAGGGGTGAGGTGTGGTCAGGCCAGGGGTGAGGTGTGGTCAGACCAGGGGTGAGGTGTGGTCAGACCAGGGGTGAGGTGTGTTCAGACCAGGGGTGAGGTGTGTTCAGACCAGGGGTGAGGTGTGTTCGGACCAGGGGTGAGGTGTGTTCAGACCAGGGGTGAGGTGTGTTCAGACCAGGGGTGAGGTGTGTTCAGACCAGGGGTGAGGTGTGTTCGGACCAGGGGTGAGGTGTGTTCAGACCAGGGGTGAGGTGTGGTCAGGCCAGGGGTGAGGTGTGGTCAGACCAGGGGTGAGGTGTGGTCAGGCCAGGGGTGAGGTGTGTTCGGACCAGGGGTGAGGTGTGTTCAGACCAGGGGTGAGGTGTGGTCAGACCAGGGGTGAGGTGTGGTCAGACCAGGGGTGAGGTGTGGTCAGACCAGGGGTGAGGTGTGTTCAGACCAGGGGTGAGGTGTGTTCAGACCAGGGGTGAGGTGTGTTCAGACCAGGGGTGAGGTGTGTTCGGACCAGGGGTGAGGTGTGTTCAGACCAGGGGTGAGGTGTGTTCAGACCAGGGGTGAGGTGTGTTCGGACCAGGGGTGAGGTGTGTTCAGACCAGGGGTGAGGTGTGGTCAGGCCAGGGGTGAGGTGTGGTCAGACCAGGGGTGAGGTGTGGTCAGACCAGGGGTGAGGTGTGTTCAGACCAGGGGTGAGGTGTGTTTGGACCAGGGGTGAGGTGTGTTCGGACCAGGGGTGAGGTGTGTTCAGACCAGGGGTGAGGTGTGGTCAGACCAGGGGTGAGGTGTGGTCAGACCAGGGGTGAGGTGTGGTCAGACCAGGGGTGAGGTGTGTTCAGACCAGGGGTGAGGTGTGTTCAGACCAGGGGTGAGGTGTGTTCAGACCAGGGGTGAGGTGTGTTCAAACCAGGGGTGAGGTGTGTTCAGACCAGGGGTGAGGTGTGTTCAGACCAGGGGTGAGGTGTGTTCAGACCAGGGGTGAGGTGTGTTCAGACCAGGGGTGAGGTGTGGTCAGACCAGGGGTGAGGTGTGTTCAGACCAGGGGTGAGGTGTGTTCAGACCAGGGGTGAGGTGTGTTCAGACCAGGGGTGAGGTGTGTTCAGACCAGGGGTGAGGTGTGTTCAGACCAGGGGTGAGGTGTGGTCAGACCAGGGGTGAGGTGTGTTCAGACCAGGGGTGAGGTGTGTTCAGACCAGGGGTGAGGTGTGTTCAGACCAGGGGTGAGGTGTGGTCAGACCAGGGGTGAGGTGTGTTCAGACCAGGGGTGAGGTGTGTTCAGACCAGGGGTGAGGTGTGTTCAGACCAGGGGTGAGGTGTGTTCAGACCAGGGGTGAGGTGTGTTCAGACCAGGGGTGATGTGCTCCGCTGGTTCGTACCATGTTAGAATGTGGCTGCAGCACGAGTCGCGCTTGTTTCCGCCGCTGCTTCCGGTAATAATTCTCAAACTCGTCACGCAGTCCCTAAAACACACACAGAGACACAAAACACACACACACACAGAGATACACACACAGACACACAGACAGACACAAACACACACACACACACAGAGACACACACACACAAAACAGAGACACACACACACGTCAGTAGGTTCCACGTGTGAAGACAGTTAAGATGTGACGTAATTAAAACTGTGGGGAAGAGGAAGTTAGTTCATCAAACACAGAGCTACAGAAGCTTTAGCCCCGCCCACTCGGCAGATTCCGCCCACAGTCAGCAGACTCCGCCCACTCTGCTAAGTCCAGGCTTTCGTGCAATTGATTTGAGCGCACACCGCAAAAACGTTTTACAGACGGCGCTCTCTGGCTCTCTCTCTCTCTCTCTCTCTGGCTCTCTCTCTCTGGCTCTCTCTCTCTGGCCTCTCATCCTCTCTCTCTCTCTCTCTCTCTCTGGCTTCTCTCCTCTCTCTCTCTCTCTCTCTCTCTCTCTCACTCTGGCCTGTCCCCCTCTCTCTCTGGTCTATCACCATCTCTCTCTCTAGCCTCTCTGCCTCTCCCTCTCCCTCTCCTCTCTTCTCCTCTCTCACCCTGACTGGTGGCTCTCTGAGGACCATGTGGGCAGGGTCAGAGGTCACAGAGACGTAGAGATTGTGTGTATTCCCAGTTTGAGTCCAAACAATGAGCATTGACCACGGTCCACAGTGAACTCTGAGCACAGAGAGGTCAATGTCAGCGGCAAAACAAACACACTCCAGAGAACATTAAAGGAGACCTGTTGAGCTGAGGACGGCCTGAGAAGCCCTTTGAACATATATACATTTAAATAATCACTTTTCACTTCCAACTAATTCATGGAAAATATATACAGTATATAGATATTTTACTTACATACAGTAACTGCTATGAGTGGGATGTTGTAGAGGGCTCTCTCTCTCTGCTCCCTCACCCTCTGCTCCCTCACTCTCTGCTCACTCAATCTCTGCTCACTCAATCTCTGCTCACTCAATCTCTGCTCACTCAATCTCTGCTCACTCAATCTCTGCTCCCTCACTCTCTGCTCCCTCACTCTCTGCTCCCTCACTCTCTGCTCCCTCACTCTCTGCTCCCTCACTCTCTGCTCCCTCACTCTCTGCTCCCTCACTCTCTGCTCCCTCACTCTCTGCTCACTCACTCTCTGCTCACTCACTCTCTGCTCCCTCACGCTCTGCTCCCTCACTCTCTGCTCACTCACTCTCTGCTCACTCACTCTCTGCTCCCTCACTCTCTGCTCCCTCACTCTCTGCTCCCTCACTCTCTGCTCCCTCACTCTCTGCTCCCTCACTCTCTGCTCCCTCACTCTCTGCTCCCTCACTCTCTGCTCACTCACTCTCTGCTCACTCACTCTCTGCTCACTCACTCTCTGCTCCCTCACTCTCTGCTCCCTCACTCTCTGCTCCCTCACTCTCTGCTCCCTCACTCTCTGCTCCCTCACTCTCTGCTCCCTCACTCTCTGCTCCCTCACTCTCTGCTCCCTCACTCTCTGCTCACTCACCCTCTGCTCACTCACCCTCTGCTCACTCACCCTCTGCTCACTCACTCTCTGCTCACTCACTCTCTGCTCACTCACTCTCTGCTCACTCACTCTCTGTTCCCTCACTCTCTGTTCCCTCACTCTCTGTTCCCTCACTCTCTGTTCCCTCACTCTCTGCTCCCTCACTCTCTGCTCACTCAATCTCTGCTCACTCAATCTCTGCTCCCTCAATCTCTGCTCCCTCACTCTCTGCTCCCTCACTCTCTGCTCCCTCAATCTCTGCTCCCTCAATCTCTGCTCCCTCACTCTCTGTTCCCTCACTCTGCTCCCTCACTCTCTGCTCACTCACTCTCTGCTCCCTCACTCTCTGTTCCCTCACTCTCTGTTCCCTCACTCTCTGTTCCCTCACTCTCTGCTCCCTCACTCTCTGCTCCCTCACTCTCTGCTCCCTCACTCTGTTCCCTCACTCTGCTCACTCACTCTCTGCTCCCTCACTCTCTGCTCCCTCACTCTCTGTTCCCTCACTCTCTGTTCCCTCACTCTCTGTTCCCTCACTCTCTGTTCCCTCACTCTCTGTTCCCTCACTCTCTGTTCCCTCACTCTCTGTTCCCTCACTCTCTGCTCCCTCACTCTCTGCTCCCTCAATCTCTGCTCCCTCACTCTGTTCCCTCGCTCTCTGTTCCCTCGCTCTCTGCTCCCTCGCTCTCTGTTCCCTCACTCTCTGTTCCCTCACTCTCTGTTCCCTCACTCTCTGTTCCCTCACTCTCTGCTCCCTCACTCTCTGCTCCCTCAATCTCTGCTCCCTCAATCTCTGCTCCCTCACTCTCTGCTCCCTCACTCTCTGCTCCCTCAATCTCTGCTCCCTCACTCTCTGCTCCCTCACTCTCTGCTCCCTCACTCTCTGCTCCCTCACTCTCTGCTCCCTCACTCTCTGCTCACTCACTCTCTGCTCACTCACTCTCTGCTCACTCACTCTCTGCTCCCTCACTCTCTGCTCACTCACTCTCTGCTCACTCACTCTCTGCTCACTCACTCTCTGCTCACTCACTCTCTGCTCACTCACTCTCTGCTCACTCACTCTCTGCTCACTCACTCTCTGCTCACTCACTCTCTGCTCACTCACTCTCTGCTCACTCACTCTCTGTTCCCTCACTCTCTGTTCCCTCACTCTCTGTTCCCTCACTCTCTGTTCCCTCACTCTCTGTTCCCTCACTCTCTGCTCCCTCACTCTCTGCTCCCTCACTCTCTGCTCCCTCACTCTCTGCTCCCTCACTCTCTGCTCCCTCACTCTCTGCTCACTCACTCTCTGCTCACTCACTCTCTGCTCACTCACTCTCTGCTCACTCACTCTCTGCTCACTCACTCTCTGCTCACTCACTCTCTGTTCCCTCACTCTCTGTTCCCTCACTCTCTGTTCCCTCACTCTCTGTTCCCTCACTCTCTGTTCCCTCACTCTCTGTTCCCTCACTCTCTGTTCCCTCACTCTCTGTTCCCTCACTCTCTGCTCCCTCACTCTCTGCTCCCTCACTCTCTGCTCCCTCACTCTCTGCTCACTCACTCTCTGCTCACTCACTCTCTGCTCACTCACTCTCTGCTCACTCACTCTCTGCTCACTCACTCTCTGCTCACTCACTCTCTGCTCGCTCACTCTCTGCTCGCTCACTCTCTGCTCGCTCACTCTCTGCTCGCTCACTCTCTGCTCGCTCACTCTCTCTGCTCGCTCACTCACTCTCTGCTCACTCACTCTCTGTTCCCTCACTCTCTGTTCCCTCACTCTCTGCTCCCTCAATCTCTGCTCCCTCAATCTCTGCTCCCTCACTCTCTGCTCCCTCACTCTCTGCTCCCTCAATCTCTGCTCCCTCACTCTCTGCTCCCTCACTCTCTGCTCCCTCACTCTCTGCTCCCTCACTCTCTGCTCCCTCACTCTCTGTTCCCTCACTCTCTGCTCACTCACTCTGCTCCCTCAATCTCTGCTCACTCACTCTCTGCTCACTCACTCTCTGCTCACTCACTCTCTGCTCACTCACTCTCTGCTCACTCACTCTCTGCTCACTCACTCTCTGCTCACTCACTCTCTGCTCACTCACTCTCTGCTCACTCACTCTCTGCTCACTCACTCTCTGCTCACTCACTCTCTGCCCTCACCCTGCTCACTCACTCTCTGCTCACTCACTCTCTGTTCCCTCACTCTCTGTTCCCTCACTCTCTGTTCCCTCACTCTCTGTTCCCTCACTCTCTGTTCCCTCACTCTCTGTTCCTCCCTCACTCTCTGCTCCCTCACTCTCTGCTCCCTCACTCTCTGCTCCCTCACTCTCTGCTCCTCACTCTCTGCTCACTCACTCTCTGCTCACTCACTCTCTGCTCACTCACTCTCTGCTCACTCACTCTCTGCTCACTCACTCTCTGCTCACTCACTCTCTGTTCCCTCACTCTCTGTTCCCTCACTCTCTGTTCCCTCACTCTCTGTTCCCTCACTCTCTGTTCCCTCACTCTCTGTTCCCTCACTCTCTGTTCCCTCACTCTCTGCTCCCTCACTCTCTGCTCCCTCACTCTCTGCTCCCTCACTCTCTGCTCCCTCACTCTCTGCTCACTCACTCTCTGCTCACTCACTCTCTGCTCACTCACTCTCTGCTCACTCACTCTCTGCTCACTCACTCTCTGCTCACTCACTCTCTGCTCACTCACTCTCTGCTCACTCACTCTCTGCTCACTCACTCTCTGCTCGCTCACTCTCTGCTCGCTCACTCTCTGCTCGCTCACTCTCTGCTCGCTCACTCTCTGCTCGCTCACTCACTCTCTGCTCACTCACTCTCTGTTCCCTCACTCTCTGTTCCCTCACTCTCTGCTCCCTCAATCTCTGCTCCCTCACTCTCTGCTCCCTCACTCTCTGCTCCCTCAATCTCTGCTCCCTCACTCTCTGCTCCCTCACTCTCTGCTCCCTCACTCTCTGCTCCCTCACTCTCTGCTCCCTCACTCTCTGTTCCCTCACTCTCTGCTCACTCACTCTCTGCTCACTCACTCTGTTCCCTCAATCTCTGCTCACTCACTCTCTGCTCACTCACTCTCTGCTCACTCACTCTCTGCTCACTCACTCTCTGCTCACTCACTCTCTGCTCACTCACTCTCTGCTCACTCACTCTCTGCTCACTCACTCTCTGCTCACTCACTCTCTGCTCACTCACTCTCTGTTCCCTCACTCTCTGCTCCCTCACTCTCTGCTCCCTCAATCTCTGCTCCCTCACTCTCTGTTCCCTCACTCTCTGTTCCCTCACTCTCTGCTCACTCACTCTCTGCTCACTCACTCTCTGCTCCCTCACTCTCTGCTCCCTCACTCTCTGCTCCCTCACTCTCTGTTCCCTCACTCTGCCCCCTCACTCTCTGCTCACTCACTCTCTGCTCCCTCACTCTCTGCTCCCTCACTCTCTGTTCCCTCACTCTCTGTTCCCTCACTCTCTGTTCCCTCACTCTCTGTTCCCTCACTCTCTGTTCCCTCACTCTCTGCTCCCTC